CCCCCGAACCCCGAACCCCCGGACCGCTATAAACCCGCTATAAACCCGCTATAAATCCGCTATAAACCCGCTACAAACCCGCTATAGACCCGCGGAGCCCATGGCACCGGGCCGGCCCCGCGGCCACCGCGGCCACCGCAGCCCGGCAGGTGAGTGCCCGGCCCGGGAGGGCAGCGGGTGGGCACCGCAGAGCGGGGGGCGCGCTCCGAGAGAGCGCCGCGCTATGGGGAGGGCGGGAGGGGCGGCCGTGCCCCCCAAAACCCGGCCAGGGCTGTGTCGGCAGCCCGGAGAGGGGCACACCCCAAGGTAAGGAGGGATGCCCGGGCTGGGGCCGCGGGGTGGGGATAGGAGGGCGTCTGTTCTCGCTGGAGTCGGGGGGCAGGGTCACCCCCTTCCCTGCTTCTTGGGATGCCCTCAGTTTGGCCCCCAAGTCCTCAAAGGGGGAGGGTGTTTGCTACTGCCAGTCCTGCTCCCCTGAATATCAGTGAAAATCGTGCAGTGTCCAGCGCCCAGCAGCTAAGGCAGGCAGGGCGGGGGTGCTCTGTGTCTGTGTGTCCCCTCCCCTTTATTCACCTATTTATTTTAAAATGAAACCGTCTCATCCAGAGAAATCCCCTTGGAGCAAAGAGTGGGCACCCCCTCAACGTACCCTGCTCTGCCCATCCTGCTGCAGACAGCTTTTGGGGGGACAGGACTGTCCCCATCTGGGGGGCACAGGGACAGCTGGGGGCAGTGGGTGCTGAGGGGCTGCTCTTGCAGGTCACCCTCTGCCATCATGATGGAGAAAGGGCCCCCCAACTCCAGCGAGGGCCAGCAAGGCTGGTTCTCAGCCAGGAATGGCAGCGGCAGCTTCTTGGATCTGGAGCCTGTGGTGCGACCCCTCGCCCTGAACCCGTGGGACGTCCTCCTCTGCATCTCGGGGACCATCATCTGCTGCGAGAACGCCATCGTGGTGCTGGTCATCTTCCACAGCCCGGCTTTCCGCGCCCCCATGTTCCTCCTGATCGGCAGCTTGGCCACAGCCGATCTCCTGGCGGGTTTGGGGCTGATCCTGCACTTTGCCTTGGTGTACCTGATCCCGTCGGAGGCGGTCAGSCTGCTCACCGTGGCACTGCTGGTCACCTCCTTCACGGCCAGCGTCAGCAGCCTGCTGACCATCACCATCGACCGCTACCTGTCCCTGTGCCACGCGCTGACCTACTGCTCGGAGCGCTCGCTCACCAGGACCTACATCATGCTGGTGCTGAGCTGGGGMGCGTCCCTGAGCCAGGGAATGCTGCCCGTGCTGGGCTGGAACTGCCTGCAGGAGCCTTCCTCCTGCAGCATCATCAAACCGCTGACCCGCAGCCACCTCAGCCTGCTCTCGGTGTCGCTGCTGGCGGTGCTGGCGGCGGTGTTCCAGCTSTACCTGCACATCTGTCGGGTGGTGTGCCGGCACGCCCAGCAGATCGCCGTCCAGAGGCACTTCCTGGGCAGCTCCCAGGATGTCAGCAGCCGGAAGGGCATCGCCACGCTGGCGGTGATCCTGGGCACGCTGCTGTCCTGCTGGCTGCCCCTGGCTGTGTATGGACTGCTGGGGGATCCCAGCAGGGACCCTGTGCTCTACACCTACGCCACGCTGCTCCCCGCCACCTCCAGCTCCGCGCTCAACCCCGTCATCTACGCCTTCAGGAACCAGGAGCTGCAGCGGGTGCTGTGGGCCGTGTGCTGCGGGTGCTGCTCCTCCGCGCCGCCGTTCCGCTCCCGCTCCCCCAGTGACGTGTGACAAAGCCCTCCCTGCACCTTCCACGCACCGGCTGCACTCGGGGGATTGCCTTTGATCCCCCTCTTCATTGCCGGAGCTCTTGGAATCCAGCAGCTCTTCCCAGCCTCACCGTTTTTGGGCACAACCCCTTCTTTTTCTCTATTTTTCCCCTTTTTGAATAGAGAGAAAAACATATTTTTTATCCATAATATAATCTATATTTATGTGTCAGAGAGAGAGGGGGGTGATCCTCATATTTTCTTTAAAACTATTTACGATGCTTTATTTTTTTAGGGGTGGGGCAACACCAGGAACATTTGTCCTCCTCTTGCTTTTTTTAGAGCCTCGTTATTTACCTCAGATAATTAAAATATATTTTATGCGTTTGGGGAACGGGGGGAGAAACACATTGCCAGAGGAGGGGACTCAATCCCCCCTGCTTCTCCCGGCTGTCCGTTCATTTATTTATTTTTTAATTATTATTTAATTTGATTTCCGTGCCTCYCTCCCACCGCCCAGCACCGGGCCCTGCTGCCCTCTAGTGCTCGCTGCCTTCAGGAGGGGGAACTGCCGGAGGTTCTGCACCCCAAAACCGCCCCTTTTGGGGTCCCCTGAGCGCTGTCACCCCCCTCCCTCACAGCACCCAAAGCCTTTCTTTGCACTGGGACTGCATTTGCACATTTCTGGGCTGGGGAGATGGATGTGAATGGCCCTGGGGATGGGGAGCCCTGGGGATGGGGAGCCCTGGGGATGGGGATCCCTCTGGATGGGAACCCCTCGGTGGGGGCTGCAGAGCAGGGTCAGGGTGGCTGCTGTTGTTTACAACTCTGGGAGGGGAATAAATGCATTTGTGATATGAGGTGTGGATGTTTGATGTGGGGAGGGGGTTGGGGTGGTTTCCCGAGGGGCTGAAATCCCCGAGTCCCAGCAGGGCCGTCCCCCCGTGCGATTCCCCGCTCCCGATAAGCGATGCCGGCGATGCCGAGTGACAGCGCTTCCCCCACCCTTCACATCCTGTTAGCAGGAGCTGGCCCGGGGGGAGCAGCACCAGGGCCGGCCATCCTCATCCTCATCGTCATCCTCATCGTCATCCTCCTCATCCTCATCCTCATCCTCATCCCATCCTCATCCTCATCCTCATCCTCATCC